ATAGCATTCTATAATAGGCACATTATAAAATTGTAATAATAGCGATATAACTAGGGACATTATAAAAATATAAAACACAGTATTTTACATGAAAAAGACAAAGAAAAGAAAGAAAACAAAAATAGAGATAATACAAAAAAAGTTCTTCCGTGGCAGGATTCGAACTTCTAAAACTTCCAGGTATGAATATATTACACTACAGCTTCGCTACTACATCACTGCATCCAACTTTAAGAAAAGAAGCATGTGTAGCTGCGATAGAAGATTAAAACATTAAATATCTCTGTAAATAATGAGTATTAACGGAAATGCTTGGACACGGTCAAATTATTTTTACTTTAAAATCGACAGACCAAATTTCATTAAAATCGACGATCCAACAGCTGTGACCTCTCCTTGTTAGTAAAGCACGGCGTTCTTCAGCTTCGGTACAATCCGGATCTGCATTTTTGATTATTATTATTATCCCAAAATACTGAGAAAACCGTTGAATTCGAAGCGATAAAACAAAACGCCACGCAGCAGCAGCTGGCCGTAAATGAAAAGTACTTGCTTGCAGGACTGCTTCAAGTCGTAGTTCGACCGCGGCAATCAAGTCGTAGAGTCGAAGGGGACCTGACTTTGAAGGTGACGTCGTGGAAATTACCGCCGGGAACAGGTATGTTTTAAAGTACGAGCATAGGTCGGATAGTTTTGGGACAGCCCTCGTTATGTATGTACAGAGTCTCCGAGACTCAAAGTGTCGCGAAGCCAGCTCAAAAGGAGCTCTCGCGCTTCGTTCTGTGCTGAACGACCTCCGGACTGGGCGTCATTGCTGGATTGTCGTAAGCGTAGTCGAGAGTGGTGTCCTCGCTCGGGTGCCTCCTCGACAGGGTGGTGGTGGTGGTGTTTGGCGTGGCATTACCGGTTCCGGTTCCGCTTCCGCTTCCGCTTCCGCTTCCACTCGCGCTGCCACTCGCCACGTCGTTGCCACGGTTCGTCGTCGTCGTCGTCGTCGTCTCGTTCACCGAGTACCGAGAAGGCGCCACGCTGGCGCTTATCGTCGACATGGTCAGCTTGAGTCCGTTGTGCTGCCTCGACGTGCCAGACTCTGCGTCCCGAAGCGACGACGTCTTGCATCGATCGTTGTTGTTCTCGTTGGCGTCGTTCACGTTCGACGTCCCCTGAAAAGAAACAGGCGGCAGAGTCCTCCGACAGCTCCGAACAAGAAAGCGTTTCTTCAGCTAGGTGTCTCCATTGAAGGGTAAAAACTGTCGCGAGTTCCTCCTTCGAAATCCTGAGGAGTACTCTCGTGCGAGCAGAATAACGAATAATAAAAGAAAAGTGTGGTCAAAAAGTGAAATTATTCAACTAGCTTCTTTTAATTTAAATTATTATATAATATTATAATATTTGTGTATATGATATTATACAATATTTATAATATTATATAAGATTTATAATATTATAGAATATTTATAATATTATATAAGATATAATATTATATAATATTATATAATTAAATAATTATTAATTTAAATATTATATATATATTATTACAGATGAATATAAATATTATATAATATTATACAATATTTAATTATACTGTATTATATTACATTAATATAATAATTAATTAATATTATATTATATTAATATATTAATTAATTAATTATTATATTATATTAAATTAATTATATTAAATATTGTATAATAATTTAAATTATTGAACTCTTCTTTTTATGTTGATTTTTCTTTTTTCTTAAAATATCACGGGCAACTATGAGGACACACATTTCTTGCACCTCCATGACAGCGTTGATGTCACTGTTCTCACACTCGTGTTTCGAACTAAACCACATCACAGTGAGTAGGAGCAGAGACAACGAACTCCCAAATGGACACGGTTATTCTGTCGGATAGTTAGCTCTCGGAGAGTATGTCGACCTTTCTCAGAGAGTGAAAATTCTCAAAGCTGCTGTCAGACGGACGCGAGGCTTTTCTTTCTTTCTCACCTTTCTCCGTTTGCCGGCGAAAGCTCTGCCCAGGGTGGTCCGCATCTTCTCCCATCGCGTAAACCTCTGCGCAAGCAGGTAGAGACTCGCCAGAAGAGACGAGAAGGCTACCGCGACGCATATCGCGACCAGGATCCACAGTCGTTCCACCTCTCCTACGGATTGTCAATGGTTTTTTCATCTTTTCTCGCCCCCTTCCCCCTCTTTTTCTCTTTCTCTTTCCTCTCCTTCTCGCTTACCTCGCAGGTCCTCGTACTGCTTCAGGAGAACGTATCGTTTGTCGTGGAGATACTCTGCAAAAGGAAAAGGCCAATTACCAACTCTGTGTAATCTAGGTAACTAAATTCCAACGACGTCACTGGGGGGGGGGGGGAGACAAAAACGAGGAGAGAGGAGCACAGGCAAGTAAAGGCCCCTTTCCATTTGACAGTTTTAAAACTGTCGCGAGTCGCTCTCGCAAATGGATACTGCTTCTGAGAGTTGCTGTCCGAGAGCGTCGCTCAACTGTTTGAGAGAAAGAAATGGAGAATACTCGCGCGAGAAGGGTCTCAAGACGAAGAGGATCTCCTGAGAGAGAAAGAGAGAGAGAGGAAAGGAAAAAGAAGGTAAGCAGGCAAATAGGCGGTCGTTTGGGATGAGTCATCGAGCGTGGTGTATAGAGTCGGTGGTCAGGTGTGTGGAGCGGTAGAGTCAACGGACTCGAACCCCCTGGCGCTCAGGTGCACAAAGGGGGGGGACTCGGCAACTCTCGGCCCGCTCGGCTACCTGAGCTTTTCACCTTTTTTTCCCATCGATCCACCGAAACCATCGATTCGTGCCGCCGCCGCTACGACTCGACTCGATGAAAAAGGAAAAGAAAAAGAAAAAGAAAAAGAAAAAGAAAAAGAAAAAAGAGGGAGCCAGAGAAAAGGTTTGCTTCTTCGCTCTCACTCTCTCTCTCTCTCTCTCTCTCTCTCTCTCTGTCTCTCACCTTGACAATCTTTGAAGCATTCGTCTTGCTGATAGTTGCGGCCGTTGGCGTCGCAGATGGAGGAGCACGGCTTGCAACGTTTGTCGTAGGGGCTGCAGTACTCGACGGTGGAGCAGCGTCTCTCGCCGCACTCGGCCCCCAGCGGGCTCAGGCCGGCGACTGCGGCGCCGATCGCGAGCGTGCCCACGACCAACAGCCGATTAACAACGACAGCCTGCCGGTTCGCGTTCATTCTTCGGTAGCCGCACGATTAGATTAGTCAGTCCGGTTGTTTCGATCAGCGGCGTTGGATCGGTGGAGGCATCATGACAATCCTGAAAGGAGCGCGCGTGCGCGCGATGCAACACACTAACAACGAGGAGGCGCGCGATCGCACGTGTATCGTCGGAGGATCGAGGTTCGATTACCAAACGCGAGGGAAAAGGCGAAACTGCACGGTCGGTGAGTCATCGCACGCGGCGGTGAGTATCGCGCGCACGGAATGCCGTTCTTCGGAACGATCCAAGCTTCCTACCACTGCTTGCGGCCACTAACTGCCAGGTCGGTTTCGATCGAAGCCACAAGGCGAAACCTTCGATCGTTGCCCGGGACGACGACAACGACGACGACGACGACGACGCGTGGAAATTCCGACGCGTCACACTCGTACGACCGCGCTCCTTTCGCCTTCGTTGTTCTTCCTGCCGATCGTCGCGCGACTGTTACCACTATGGCGTATCGGAGAAATGCCAAACGCGAGAGAGAGAGAGAGAGAGAGAGAGAGACAGGTCGAAGAAAAGGAGGGAGAGAGAACCGGTCGGTCGTACCTGGTACCGCTACGTGGATAGACGAACGTTTATCGAAAAAAACCGATCGAAGGCAAACGGTCGAATATTTCGCGCAACGTCCGACACGGAATAACCGTTGGACGACCAATGGTTGGCAATTGGCCGGTATTTGAGATTGGTAAACACAGCGCAAACGATCGGCGGAAATCCGGGAATGCAGCCGGACCGGTTTCGAGGGCGGTGTCCTGTCGAGGCCACCGACGCGAGTCTTGCGCCTTTTTCCTTTGCGACGTAGAAACTCTCCGGAGGATTACTGCGTGTGATCCTGCGTGAAACAACGACCGATCGACCGCGCGTTCGCCGTAACAGGTGGCGTCTGTTTCTCTCCTCGTGACTTACTTACTTACTTACTTACTTACTTACTTTGCCTTGCGGATGCGTTCGCGAATCGTTTTCGCTCGAGATGGAGTCGGATCGATTAGCATCTCGTCGATCGCCAAACTGAGAGAGAGAGAGAGAGAGAGAAAGAGAGGGATTGAGAGAAGTGGAGAAAATCGCGCGACGATTGAAACCAGATGGAGCGAGCCAAAGTCAAAGATGGAGTCGCGCGCGCGTCGCGTCCATCGGCTCGCGGTAAACTGAGGATCGCCGCCAGTGAGTCGACTGCCAGGCGAGACTCGCACCTGAATTTCCACCTCTCCGCCTCTCTCTCTCTCTCTCTGCCTGCGCGTGTCTCATCGATCCCCCTTCTTCGTTGTTGTCACGCTCCTCCTCCTTCTTCTTCTCCTGCGGCCTGTTGTTACCTGCCGGAACGGCACGGCACGTATCTCTCTTTTCGGCTCGGGGTGCCGCTCACCTGTTGCGAGCCGAGGTCCTCTATACGGTCGAACGGTCTCTCCGAAAACGTGCGACACAGAGGGAGACGAGACGATCGTGTAAATAAATGAGCCTCCGTTTTGTCGATTAACTTTTTTATTTCGTTCAACGAGTGGACGCCGAGAGCTCGCGAAACGCGGAGCCTCGATTCGTCCATTCTCTACTACACCACACGGTTCGTACAAAATATATATATGTATATATATATATATTTATATATATTTCATCGTTATTCGCATCGATGATTAATCATCGCCCTCTGACATCACCAACGAGACGTTGTTTCTGAAACAGGGCAACGCACAAACTACCCTGACGATTGATCTCCTCCTCGCTGTTTCTTCCTCGCTCGCTACGACGGCTGGCTATCGATCGCTGCTGCTCTTGATTTCTCGTTTCTTGGTCGACGCGTTCGCCCCTCGGCGAACCGATCGACGGAAACGATCGTCGATGCCACCGGGCTCGAAACGTCGGGATTGATGAACCGCTATCAATGCCGATTTTCGAAAACGCCGGCGAAACACCTCGACGAATCGGCGATCGATTCGCCAAAAGTTTGAACGCGACGACAAACGCCAAGAGAGAGTTACGCGAGTTACGCGATTTCTTCTTCTTCTTCTTCTTCTTCTTCTTCTTCTTCTATCTTCTTCTTGTTGTCTTGTCTGCCTCGTCTCGCTGACGTGAACAGCGTGACCGAACAAACGCCGGAACGAGGTGATGATGAATTCTTTTTCGCGCTACAGATTCCACTTGCTGTAGCTGCACAGGCACAGGCTCCAGCAACCCGAGCGCGCGGGTCGAACGTTCTCGCTGGGGATTTTCTCCCCGTTGGATGGAGAAGCGCAGTCGAGCGAGCAACAGTCGGCAGTCGGGACGACGAGACGCTGCTCGACGCTGGCGGGCCGCTGGAATTCCTATCTTCAGATGCTCTTGTGACCGACCAGTCCAGTGTTGGACGAGGCGGCGTTGTTGGAAAGCTCGCCGTCGCCGCCGGCGACGAATCGCGGCTGATCGAGCTCCGTCGGCGACGGTGGCGAACCGTCGTCAGACTGCGACAACGCCACCGGTACCGGCATCGGTAGCATCTCCGGCACGCCGTTCTGCACGTAATGGGTCAGCCGGGTGGGCAGGCAACCCGCGTTCAACTGGTAGAACTCGATCAGCTGCAGCAGATCGTAGAACCTGGTCACGCCTTTGTCCAGGGTGTACAGCCAGCAGTTGCATCGTTCGTCGAAAACCTGAAACGACAGGGATGGCGTGAGCAACAGGCAGCGCGATTCGCGGCTCGCCCGGTCTTAACCTCTTGCGCTGGAATTTTTTTCTCCCAAAATTGCAATATTTCCTCGGTTCCTCCAGGTACAACATTTGAGTAAAACGGATAAATAAATTTATCACATTTCTCAATAATTTTTGTCCATATCAATGTGCGACGTCATACCGACGAGTTCAATGAGAAAGCGACGATTTGTTGTGGCACGGTCATATGGTCGCTCGTTATGGTCCGCAATCAGCTGCCAGGCGCAAGTGGTTAAGTTACTACGGGGGCCGGGTTGAAACACTTACCGGCTGAATCTGCGCGTGAAACACCTTTTCGCTGTACTTGTAGGTGAGCACGTAGGCACCCAAGTTGCTCTTGCTCTCGCGTACCAGAAACACGCTGAAATGACACGTTATTGCTTGTTACAAAGAGCGCAACTGCACCAACGATTTCGACTAGCGCGACTTTGTAAAGTAGCCGTTTCAAAGCGTGAAAATTTTCTTTGACAATCGTTGGTCTATTTTTTTTTTTTTTTTTTTTTTTTAAAGATAATTTTACATCGCGTAGCTTAGAGTGGGAAATTGAGAACGCTTTTTTCAAAAATTGTAAAAATTCAAAACTGTGTGTAAAAACGTTAAAGAGTCCACGGTGGACTCTTTATGCGTGCGGTCTAACAGCGAACCTTATGGTTCTGGACGCGTGGACGTAACGTTTATATTTCGAATAATGTTCGACAGTTATTTTTATCATTTGATTATTTAGACTGACACTGGTGCTACAATCGGTGATAAATTAAATGTTAGTGAAACCTAATCCAGAACCACAAAGCGTCGCTGTTAGGACGCACGCGTCCGCAATGTAAACTGATCAAGAAACTTTTTCCAAGAGAACTACATACATCGGCATAGAATACAATGAGAAAAAAAAAATTTTAGCCTGAAATTTTAGTTCACTGCTTTTAAGCAAACATAACTTTTCCTCCCACCCTGTACAAATTACACGCGGGTTCCAATTTTGAACTTCGAATCGACTCGAAAGTAGATGTTGGATATACTTACCCGTCGACGGAGCCCTGGTCACGGACGATTGCCGCGGCGATGTCTCTCTTGAGCCCTCTGTGGAACCACGGTTGCAAAACGTGGATACCGTCGTCGAGCCCGTGCAGCCTGACCACCGCGCAGCTCGGCGGCGGCCTCGAGAACGGCCTCCAGGTGCGCCGCCAGTTCACGCCCTCGTTCTCGGCGATGTTCTTCGCCTCCTTCGGGTCGTCGACGATCCTCCCTACGCTGCCGGTAAAGTCCATGGCCACGCGAGACCGTACCGATTCCTGCGGATGCAACACACCAGACCGCGCTGCTCTCTTACTCTCGAACCGTTCTCGGACGCACGATCGATCCATTCTCTCTTCGCGTCGTTCGACTACACACAGGTGTTACTCGCGAATGAAACGAAACGAAACGAGACGAGACGAGATGAATGCATAAACGAGATGGTTACCGATGATTTAACCACTTGTGCTGGCAACTGATTGCGGACCATAACGAGTGACCAACGTCGTATACAATAAAATTCGTTGCTTTCTTTCTGAACTTTCTCGTCGGTATGATACCACTGGATAGAAATTATTGATAAGTAGTAAATTTATTACTTATTTTGCCTGAGTTATACTTAAATATACTTAAAACTGAGAAAATGTTGCAACTTTGGGACAAAAAATTCTCGACGTGCGTGGCACAAGAGGTTAGCCACTTGCGCTGGCAACTGCGGACCATAACGAGTGACCAACACCGTATACAATAAAATTCGTCGCTTCCTTTCTGAACTTTCTCGTCGGTATGATACCACTGAATAGAAATTATTGAGAAGTAGTAAATTTAGTACTTATTTTGCCTGAGTTATACTTAAATATACTTAAAACTGAGAAAATATTGCAACTTTGGGACAAAGAATTCTCGACGTGCGTGACACAAGAGGTTAACCACTTGCGCTGGCAACTGCGGACCATAACGAGTGACCAACGTCGTATACAATAAAATTCGTTGCTTTCTTTCTGAACTTTCTCGTCGGTATGATACCACTGGATAGAAATTATTGATAAGTAGTAAATTTATTACTTATTTTGCCTGAGTTATACTTAAATATACTTAAAACTGAGAAAATGTTGCAACTTTGGGACAAAAAATTCTCGACGTGCGTGGCACAAGAGGTTAACCACTTGCGCTGGCAACTGCGGACCATAACGAGTGACCAACACCGTATACAATAAAATTCGTTGCTTCCTTTCTGAACTTTCTCGTCGGTATGATACCACTGAATAGAAATTATTGATAAGTAGTAAATTTAGTACTTATTTTGCCTGAGTTATACTTAAATATACTTAAAACTGAGAAAATATTGCAACTTTGGGACAAAGAATTTTCGACGTGCGTGGCACAAGAGGTTAACCACTTGCGCTGGCAACTGCGGACCATAACGAGTGACCAACGTCGTATATAATAAAATTCGTCGCTTTCTTTTTGAACTTTCTCGTCGGTATGATACCACTGGATAGAAATTATTGAGAAGTAGTAAATTTAGTACTTATTTTGCCTGAGTTATACTTAAATATACTTAAAACTGAGAAAATATTGCAACTTTGGGACAAAAAATTCTCGACGTGCGTGGCACAAGAGGTTAACCACATGCGCTGGCAACTGTGGACCATAAAGAGTGACCAACACCGTATACAATAAAATTCGTCGCTTTCTTTTTGAACTCGTCGATATGATATCACTGGATAGAAATTATTGACAAGTAATAAATTTATCATTCGTTTTGCCTATCTTGTTTTACTTGAATATACTTGAAACTGAGGAAATATTACAATTTTGGAACGAAAAAAATTCTCGACGTGCGTGGCACGTCATTCCAGCGCAAGAGGTTAAATAAAGAAAGTCTAAATCAAGCGTATCCAACCGGCGGCTCACGCTCTCTAACCAAAATAATAATTTGGAACAATTGACTAAGAATTTTACTATTTGAGTAATTTCACCGTGAATGTTCGTGTCCATTTTATTTGCGAGCAGACTTTTTTCCTCGTACGAATATAACGAAACACAGAAAGTAAAATAAGAACGAGAATGCTGAAAATACTCTTCGTATTGCTACTACCTGCATCAAATCAGATATCGATCAACTGATATATCTAAAAAAAAACAAGCTCGAATATTCTCGTTAAAAATTTTCATATTATTTTGATTAATACAAATCGTTTCGCTATAAAACTTGTTTCAACGTCCTCGTGAATAATATAGGTTACGCTGAACTGACGAAAAGAAAAAAAAATATGTAAACGACGCGCGGCACCCGACAAATGTTTGTTGGCCAACGAGGCCTAGAAAAAGATCCAAAAGGTTGGACACCCATGTTTTAGATGGAAGAAAGAATGGACCGAGACGGAGTGGTAAGTAACTAACGATCGGTCGAACGAACGTGTTCCCTGCGATTCAAAAGAGGATCGCGTTGGCGAAAGAGGCAGGGGTAGATAACCCCCGAGACGCCTGTTGCTAGGCGAGCATCGAGCGACGGCAGTGTACAACGACGGCGTGACACGGTGCGCGCGGATTTCGTAGGGAATGGAAATCGGAATTGAGAGTCCTCTTGTCAATCCTCTTGTTACCATCGTGCGCACCACTGCCCGCCGCGGTTTCTCCCAAGTACGAGGTAGTAGATGGGTACGCTGTCGTCGATACTACTCGACGTAGCACAGGTGATACTGGTTTACGTAACGACGCCGCACCTGCGTTTAACCACTTGCACTGGCAATTGATTGCGCACCATAACGAGTGACCAGAACCGTACGCAATAATTCGTCGTTTTCTTTTTGAACATGTCGGCACGATACCACTGGATAGAAATTATTAGGAAGTAATAAACTTATTACTTGTTTTGCCTGAATATACTTAAAACTGAGAAAACATTGCAATTTTGGAACAAAAAATTTCTCGACGTGCGTGGCACGTCATTCCAGCGCAAGAGGTTAACCACTTGCACTGGTAACTGATTGCGGACCATAACGAGTGACCAAAACCGTACTCAATAATTCGTTGCTCTTTTTAAACTCGTCGGTACGATAACACTGGATTGAAATTATTGAAAAGTAATAAATTTATTACTTGTTTTACCTAAATATACTCGAAAATGAGAAATTATTTCAATTTTGAAGCAAAAAATTCTCGATGTGCGTGGCACGTCATTCCAGCGCAAGAGGTTAACCACTTGCTGGTAACTAATTGCGAACCATAACGAGTGACCAAAACCGTACTCAATAATTCGTTGCTTTCTTTTTAAACTCGTCGGTACGATATCACTGGATTGAAATTATTGAAAAGTAATAAATTTATTACTTGTTTTACCTAAATATAGTCGAAAATGAGAAACTATTGCAATTTTGGAACAAACAATTCTCGACGTGCGTGGCACGTCATTCCAGCGCAAGAGGTTAACCACTTGCTGGTAACTAATTGCGAACCATAACGAGTGACCAAAACCGTACTCAATAATTCGTTGCTTTCTTTTTAAACTCGTCGGTACGATATCACTGGATTGAAATTATTGAAAAGTAATAAATTTATTACTTGTTTTACCTAAATATAGTCGAAAATGAGAAACTATTGCAATTTTGGAACAAACAATTCTCGACGTGCGTGGCACGTCATTCCAGCGCAAGAGGTTAACCACTTGCTGGTAACTAATTGCGAACCATAACGAGTGACCAAAACCGTACTCAACAATTCGACGCTTTTCTTTCTGAATTTGTCGGTACGATATCACTGGATAGAAATTATTGAAAAGTAACAAATTTATTACTTGTTTTACCTAAATATAGTCGAAAACGAGAAACTATTGCAATTTTGGAACAAAAAATTCTCGACGTGCGTGGCACGTCGTTCCAGCGCAAGAGATTAACGCAGCCGTGATGCACATTATTCCATGTTCAAACGGAGGTAACACGAGCCTCGAACGTTCGGAGAAACGACTTTGAACGTGCCCGCGCTCTGTTTTGTAATTGGCTACGCGTTGGCGAGATGGAATATCTTTTTTGCTTCCTTTGGAAGTGGAATATTCGTACCATGTTCAAATTCGAATTTCAATTTGGATTCAATTCAGTTGCGGCAGGAGCGAGAATAACTAACTCGACGAAAGGAGCCTGTGGAGGTGAGGGAGAGAAGAACGTGCGCCCGCTCGAGTTTGGTGGGGAGACAAGAGAAAAGAAGAGAAGAGGGGAGAAGAGAAGAAAATCGAGTGGAGGACGTCGCGATTGTTCGTCGTCCTGTTCGGGAATCGAAAGCACCGCTGCATCGGTAGATCGCGAACCACCGCGAGCACAGGACGGGGACGCACGTTGATCGCGTGACGCGTGCCACGTGCCGGGTGCACGAGACGGGCCAGCTGACGAAGCGAGCGCGCGAACGAGCGACGTTCTCGCCAATTGATCGACTCGGCTTGGTTCGGCTCGGCTCGGTTCGGCACGGCTCTGCGCGCAACACGCGCACGCACTGCACCCGGAGACTCGCGAGCAGAGAGACGCACCGCGTGCCTGCCGTTCTCGATCTCTTCTGCCTACTAGATGATCGATAGTCGCCGCGTAGCAACAACTAACCGCCTCGGGCGTTTTGCTCGATTTTCGAAACTCCGCTTCGACGCGAGCCGCCGCTGCGCTCTCGGCTCACACTCTACCGCCTCCCACTCTTTCTCTCCTCTCCTCTCCTCTCCGCTCTCCTCTTTGGTCGTTTGTTTCGTCCCGCTCCGCCCCACTCTGTTACGCCTGCCTCGCCTCTTTACTTCTCCACTCGCTGTTTTCGCCGCGCATACTTTTTTCCCCCCTTTTCTTTTCTTTTTCGTTTTCTTTTTCCTTTTCTCTTCTTCTTTCCCCGGTGAGTGTTTGCCGGGAAATGAAATCGCGGATCGCGGATCGCGAGCCTCCGTGACCCGCCGATCGAAAGCGACTCGAGCGGAGCGGCGCATACCGGCTAGCGCTTCTCGCACGCGATCGCCGATCGGCGAAAGTCTGCATAGTTGGAAAGCGATTCAACTCACGTTGGACACGTTGTAGTTGACGTATCGATCCTTTGGACCGTCGGTTTGTTCACACTGTTTGTTCTTGAAGGCTCTGTAGTTTTCCCTGAGTTGCTTGCCGTACTGCAATCAAACGAAAATAAACGAGTTAATTACGTTTCGACGCGATTTGTCTGTTGGGAAAGCGAGGTGTCGTTGGTTCTCCTCCGCGAAATGAAGGTACGAAGGACAGATAAATAAAATGAGGGGGGGGGGGGAGAGAGAGACACACACAACAGGAAGGAAAAGCGTGGCCGGTAAAAGCTGGTTCGATTACCTTGGCGAGCCTCATGGCCGTGAGCCAGCAGGCGCGGGATTTTTCACTGTGAAAAGCAATGACCTTGAGCCCGGCTTCTCCCGCGTGGACGGTGGTGATGTTGGACTCGGCGACGATGGCGTCGGCGACTTGGCCGCTGCTCGGCCTCAAGCAAATGCCCCAGGGGAACGGCGCCCTGTACCTCTTCCTGGCGTTCGCGATCTTGTACACCGTGTAGTCCGACAGGTGGACCAACGGGCACGCTTGCCTGCTCTTCTGTAATCGAAATCGAAAGCACAGGGAGCCATCAAGATTGAGCAGCTTAAATATCGATGGGCAGTGTATATTATCCTAATGTAATCGGCTCTCCTCCCCTCGATAGATTAAAAAGATTATAACTGAAATCACTCTGCGACAACGTCTCGCCAGAATTAAATGTCCAGAAAGCCATGTCAAATTGATAAAGTTCAAGGTCGAATAATTAATCTAATTAATTCTAGTAATTCAATAATTACTATAAAATGTATAAAAAACTTGGGAGAATTTAATGGAACTAAATGTTTTAAAAAATTAACTGGATAATTAAATTAAATATTTGATAAATAAAAAATCTTGATCATAATGATAAAGATTAGACAGATTAAATAATGAATGTCTTGTTGAAGAAAAAATATATGGGAATAATCTAAAAAAATTTATAAACATAATAAAAAAATATTAATCTTGAAAAAATTATTATACTAGAAATTGGACAGCAGTTCCCTCAACTAAAGAGTCAACACCTTTCCCCATTTAAGCGTCCGCCGCTATGCCCACCATCTTTTGGAATTGGGACTATTTCTCTCTATGCCATCTTACGCGTGAAAAACACGACACTTGCACAAGCGATACCTGGACAGCTCAGTTAAGCGTCTACTCTAACAATCAGTCCCGATTGTGGACGAGTATGTGGGGACTCGTACAACTCACGAACTTCCGTCACTCACTCTGCCTCACCAGCTACCTAATTCCCTAATAATACAGGAGTCTCTATGTAACTATATAACCGGACTACCAGAATCTCCATGTAACTAGAACTCTGTAACTATGTAACTTGTATCAAATTACCAGTGTAACCGAACCTATGGGCTTTACATCCGCATCGTATAGCCCACGGTGTTTCTTCTTTTTTCAATAAATACAAATTCGAAAGCGATATTTCCATGCTTTGTTCATTTTTTCTCCATTGTCTGGCATTTATTTATTTATTTATTCATTCGTTAATTTTTCACGGATAAAGAAACGTACCCATTTGTACGAAAAGATGATATAAAAAATGTTTCAACTGTAATGAGGTATGAGAGATACTAAGGAGATACTAAGTAACAAGCATTTAAAAGATATAAACGAATGGTTAAAAACATTGATCAAACAACGTGCACTATTAGCATTAATAAATATACGATTGTACGAATTTACATTTAAAAAAGTGTACAAAAATTCTCGATCCGATTGTTACTTACTTTAATTTAAAAAAAACACGTTTCCGTCATCCTCCGTACGATTATGCATAATTCTGAAGTGGTAAATATAATAAATCGACAAGTTTTTTGCAATTGAAACTTTAGATGCAGCGTAGTGAGGGTACGGACGACGATGACACGAATTCGACTAGTAAAAAGAAAACGGAACCATAGCAATTGCTAGAAGGCAAACACCACCAGAAGTTTCGTTATCGCGACGATTGCCCGTTGTTCGTCGAGCGTCGAGCGTCGAGCGTCGAGCGTCGATCGTTTGTTCGCTCGGTTCGCTCATCTCGATCGGTCGACGATTTTCGGCGAATTTGAAGCCACGGCGGCGTCTCTCGGAGGCGTTTCGGTGATTTCGAGCTGGAAAAACGACGACGACCATCGCAGAAAGGTATCAAAGGGGGCAAAGGCGTAACCACAGGATCCAGGCGAAACCGGTTTACTATTAAAGAGAGAGTAACGTCGGAAGCGCGCGCGCGATTAAACCGCGCGAGTCGATCACCGGGAGGAAGATTCGCGTGGATAATTTTCCAGCGAACGTACGGTGAAAATTGGAAATTTCGACTTGCGCAAATTTGCGCGTATAAATTTGAACGCGTCACGACCGAGGAAGAGGGGAGAGAGAGAGAGAAAGAGAGAGAGAGAAAATTACACTGACGATATAGATATAGATATAGATATATGTATAGAGGAACGAATCGTCGACTGTGAAACGGGCGTATGTGGGCCACGCCAGCGTATTGCGATTACGATAATAAACGCGAGAACGTTGTAACGGTAGAAATCCGTGAGAGAAAGGAGAAAAACCAACGGTGAAACGCACGCGACGAAAAGAGAAGAAGAAAAGAGAGAGAGAGAAAGAAAGAAAAATCCGTGAGTAGGACGAAACGATCGAGATCGGCCGGCTCGAGACAATTTTCTCAAAGTTTCTTCGCAAAGTGTTGTCGATTCGAGTTTCTTCTTTTCTCCAAAGAGACTCGGTGTCGCGTGCTTTCGGTCGAGACCGTCGACCACCACTCGGGGCAACGGAGGGGCAGCGGGGAGGAAGCGGGAGATCGGCCAAGAACCGGACGAGTCGGTTCTGCAAAGATTCGAGAGCGTGGGAGGACGTTTCGCGTGGCTTTGGAACCGGCCAGGCGATAACGAAACGAGATACGAGACGTGATCCGAGGATCAGATTCGAACGAGCGTGCTGAAAAAAAATCGGCCGATCGGTGGGTGACTCGCGTCGGAAGGATCGGCGAGGATCGTCCGCGAGATCATTAGCGGACAGCTCCGCTCTCGATCTCGGCTAAATATCTGTAGCTCTACTCACCGAGCAGAGTTTACGTTTCGATGTACTAGAGAAATTTGGGGTGGAAAGCGCGAATCCCATCGACGAAAATGTCGCGTTGTGTATCTCGTGGAACTAGAGAGAACGAGAATACAGAGGCCAGATAGACAGAGACGCACAGGTAGAAAGAAAAATGGGGTAGGCGATCGCGTTCGTAGAACGAGCAACCAAACGTCTCCAGAGAGATCACGCTCGAATCGTCGACGGAGCGAACCGATCATTCCCGATTCGCGTGTCCCACGATCTGGAACAAGGATACACCGGCATCGATACAATCGGTTGACTTCGATTCCGATTCCGAAGTCGATCGTTAACGCGGCCTTCGTTGTACAATGGGTGATCGGTTCATAAACCATTCCGACAACGAACACTTTTCATCACACCGCGACGTTCACGCTGCGTGCGAAATTTGTACACTCGTATTTCACTGCCGGTCGATGGTGATCGGTTAACGAACGATTCGGGTAGCGAACGAACGTTCTTTGAACGGATCATGTTCGTTGACCAATCACTTGCTTTATTACTAAATTATCAACCAAACCCTGCCGTTCGATACCTTGGCCCGCGTTTCGACCCACGTTCGCTCTTCGCTGCCCAGTCTGTCTGTTTCGCCAACGAGCCGACGAGTTTGAAACTACGTTTCAAAATGTTGCTCGGTTTGCACGGAAATCTCTCGACTCGCGTCCCTCTCGCGTGCAAGCTCGAGCGGATCCGGGATTAACGCCAAACGTGTACCGGCACTTTCTCGCACGCAGGTAATTGACAACTTGATCCACACTGGAAACGACGTGCGAGATAACTTTCGGACAACGAGAGAAAATATTACATCTGTCCGTCTCTCTTTTTTCTAACGATACACAGTAAAAATAAACGAAAGAACGGAATTTTTAAACCGGCACTTTTCACACGGAGAACGCGAGTCTCTTTTGACGAAAATTACAAGTGATTTTACGACATTCAGGCAGTCCGACTCGAAAATGCACGCGAGAAAGAAAGAACGCGCGAAATGACTTTCGGATAATGAGACAAAAAAAAAAAATCGTTTCGTTGTTTAAATGAACAAAGGGACGCGAAATGTCGAAAACCAGTCGTTTCGACCGGGCGTTGGTACGTTCAGCGTTAAATCGAACGTCGACGGTGGTCTCGTTACCCATCGGGTCGTTATCGCCGCGACCACTATACCGAACGATAGTCGATCGTTCCGCGGGGGCAGTGCCGTATCGGACTGACACTCGAAGCGCGCACTACTCGTCGAGGAATATTTCGTCGCTGGACTCTCCAAGAGGCACGGGGAAAGAAAGAAGCATCGTGCCTCTCTCTCTCTCTCTCTCTCTCTCTCTCTCTCTCTTTCTCTCTCTCGGTGCGTCGTCGAGAGGCTTTCGAAAGAAGACGAGAGACGAAGAAAAGTATGTATGTTGGATCGCGCGGCGAATGTTTTCTTCTCACTTACCACCGGGACGACACCGCGAGTCGCGGCGACTTGCCTCGACTCGACTCGACTCGATTCGACTCGACTCGACTCGGCTCGGCTTTCGGAGGTCCTCGCTGGAAATCCTTCGGGAAGCTGAACTCTCTCGACTCTTGCGATTATTTTGGGAAATGCACAAGTCGGGTTGATGGAAGAGTGGAGGAGAAGTTGGACGATTTTTCTGGTCGTCGATGATGGACGAAACGGCTATCCGTTACGCGACACCGCCGCGTCCTTTCCACTCGGGAATACCGACCTATCGTGCCGATCGGATTTCATAGCGCTTCACTCGCGGTGCTCGAGCCTCTCTCGCAGTCGTTCCTCCTTCCTTTCTCTCTCTCTCTTTCTAGAGCTTCGTTTCCCTCTTCGTTTCTTTTCAGCTTTGCTCTTTCCCTTGAAACGCAACGTCGCCCTCACCGCCGCCGTCGTCACCGTTGTCGTCGTTGTCGTCGCCGTTGTCGTCGTTGTCGTCGCCGTCGTCGTCGCCGTCGTTGTAGTCTTTGTAGTTTTAGTTTTAGTCTTGGTCTTGGACCGAGGACGAAAGCACCAAGTAAGCGAAAGAAAAATAAAAAATTTCTGGGAAATCACTCGACGAGAAATCAAACGACGTTTCGTTCCACAAAGTTCGCAAGTTGGCAAAGAGGCGATATCTCTCCTTGGACTACGTGACGAACACGAACACGAACCAGGAGATCATTGAGAAAAGCGAGTGGAAAATCAGACGGATAGACAAGGACTTTTGGGGAAGGAAAAACAGAAACAGAGAGAGAGAGAGAGAGAGAGAGAGAGAGAGAGAGAGAGAGAGAGAGAGAGAGGGAGAGAGAGAGAGAAAGAGAGCAACGTGTANAGAGAGAGAGAGAGAGAGAGAGAGAGAGAGAGAGAGGGAGAGAGAGAGAGAGACGTGTAACGTAGAGGATGAACGGATGAGTGAGTGAGTGAGTGTGTGGGTGGATGGGTGTAAAAACCG